TTTACATTTAGAAATCCATCTTTAAAAGATCTAACATCAGGTATAGAGATGCCCTCTATAAAACCCTCTTCCTTAGGAGAGAACCAAGTATCAACCAAGTAAGTTACAACAACTAAAAAAGATGTCTGATTCTCAAACCTGTGGTATAATCACATCACTCTACTTCTTTTAGCCATCTCTCTTACATACCTCAAATAATGCCTGACACGGTCATATTTTATCCTCAATACACCCATGAAGTAGAGAAATACTGTTGTTTCAGAGATAAGAAAACCATCTAAGATGGCAAGATGACCTAGATAAACTAAGTCTGAAGCAGACCAAAGAACATTTTTTGGTACTGTGGCCAAATCATATGAAACAGCTTGTAAATACTGTTAAATACCCTTCCCACAAAAGAAAAACTTTTTATTTTTTTAATTTACTTCAGCCATACTGCCATTTGGGAACCACCCCTAGCACCTGCTGTGCCCCAGGTAGTACCTGAGAGAATGTGGGTCAGTACAGGCTAAAAGAATTCCAGAGTGTGTACTAACAATTAAATTGTATGGACAAAGAAGCAGTTTTGTGGGTCCCTCAAGCCAATGCTCTGACCTGCTGTCATTTGCCACACCTGCTTTTGTTCAACTCACACAGCTGTAGCCAAAAGGCAGCCAGTCATATCAACTAACTTAGCAGTCAATAAATCAATTTTCTAGCCAATTAGTCACCTAGACTGTCACTGTAGCTCACGACAGGCATCACTATACATGAGTGAAAGCAGATGAGCATCCCTGGGAAGGTGATCTACCCCATCCTAAAACAGGGAATTCCAGCTTATCGCACTGTCTCGTTCGACTGGCTATGAAGGGAACCTTGACAACTAATTCAGACAGCACGTGTAACAGCTATGGAGACTGGACTCAGTGACATGAATAGCCTTTGAACACACAGATGTACAGCAGAGCAAAACCAAGTTTTGCTGTTTCTCCCACTAATTAGCCTGAGTCCCATCTTGCATTTCACCCCAATGAGATGCAGGAAGCACAATACAAAGCCATACTTGCCTTTCACAGCGCTCGGCCCCCAGCTGCCTTTTGGTGATATCCAGTTCTGACTCTAGCTGAGCTGCTCTGCTTCTGAACTGAGCAATATCTTGACTCTGCACAGCACTGTGAAACCCATACACTTTAATTAGCTAGAAATATAATCTTCCAAGTACTTTACCAAATACAATTATACAAAATTGAAAAGGCAGCTATACCACATGATTGAGATCAAGAATCTTTTTTGGAGCAAAATACAACACTATACAGAACAAGTCTATTAGGTTATACCTGAAGAATCAAAAGCAGAGTTTTGGTATACTCTGCTGCTAAGGTAACCAAGGTACATTGGTCATTTTCAAATTCAGCTAGATATGAAACCATCTCTGTATATACAGACTTGAGAAGAAGGAAAAAATCTGCAATATTCTCCTGGTGATTTACTCACAGTTTGTTTTCTGCAACAGAAAGCTGTTCCTTGAGAAACTGAATTTCAGAGTCTTTTTCTTGTTTTGCTTTCTGTGACTGAAACTCTTTCTCACAATTGGACATAAGCAAAGATTCCAGGTTTTTGATAGATGTTCTTTCATTTCCCAGTTGTTTTTGCAGCAGCTCTATTTCAGAACAGGATAACTCACACTTGATCTGTAGCTAAACAAAGATTTTTAAAGTTTCAGATGTATGTCTGTTAAGCTTATTAGCTCTCTATTATGGTAACCTTGTTTTAATTAAAAAAAAAAAAAAAAAGGAAGGCTGGGACCAGTGATCAAAATCTGCTTTCACTCCAAGATGGATTTTTAGTGTTATATTTGCCCTTAAAATCCTGTGTCAGATTTATAAATTCGACCAATGTATATATCTGAATATAAATATACTTGATACAGACAACAAAATGCTATATGGATCAATAGATACAGACTGTAGACAGGATCATTAAAGAAAAGGAAAGTTTTAGATTTTGTGGAGGCAAGAAACTATTTGCATGCAGGAAAGTATACCTGGTATAACAAACCAACATCTGCATCACCAACAGAGTGAGATTATACTTGTTTTATGTAAAGGAGGAAGAATAAATTGTGGGAGAAAGGAAAAAATTACAAAATTAAAACCAAGAGATTAACTATCTATATATCTTGGGGGAACTTTAAAAAGAATACCTATAAAACCTGGTATGTTCCAAACAGAACAATGTACAAAGAGAACAATGGATGTACCTGAGACATAACTTCACAGAAAGAAGAATAAAAATTAGATTCCAGAGATGGTGAGTCAGGCAAATCTGTACTGAGCCAGCTACAGAGACAGAAAACTGCCTGTTTTAATCTTAGCATAAGTAAGCTAAATGCTAATTTTCCTTCATCTTTTCCTGTCTGCATTTTAGAGTGCCTAACTGAACCCATTTGGGGTGCTACAAACCCTTATCTGTATTTTACTCGAACCTAGTCCACATGAAGCACAATAATGCCCACCTAAAAGTCATAGTACATCTATGAACTGAGCCATCTTAACAAACACCCAGTCTCTTCGGCACATGCCTCTGAATTTTCTGAGGATAATCATTTGTCTGTTCAAACAAGGAAAATACTGATAGAACTCGGGTCATAGGCCAACAAGGAAAGAAAAGGAAAAAAAAATAACCACACGCACAAGAAAAAAAAAAAAATTTCACTTTCTAAAGCAAAAGTCCTTTTTTTTTTTTTTTTTTTGTTTTACCAGACTAAACTAAAAGGTTTCTTCAGACTGAAAGAACAGATTTTCTACTGTTGATCAAAAGTCTAGTTCCTTTGTCAATAAACAGACTTGAAATTCTACTTCTGTATTTCAGAACAAAAGAATACTGAAAACTGTGGACAGCATAAGTTATAGGAAAATAGCATCAAACAGTATTAGAAACACTGAAAGAACAATATTACCCAGCATCGGGTTTGATTTCCACTTCTGAATATACATGTGCTACAATCTAGTAATGCAGATTTCTTATTGGAATACCAAGTAAAATAACAGCCCTATCTTAAGGTTATACATGGCTGATGAAAGACTGCTCATTGAAAGGTATGAAAAAATTAGTGAACATTTCCCAACTTCAGACTTTGCTCCAACTGTCCAACTCCCTTTCTGCCTTTCCCTCTCCTGAAACTCTTGCTGCTCACAGTCCCAGCAAGCCCTGTCACTGACAGCCTCACAGAAGGATCCAGGGAGGCTTAGTCACATCAGATCTCACGACAGCTTCAGACAAACATCATATGCTGGAACTCTTCCCTATCAAAAGCATTGTAGGGGATTCCACAAGCATACAAAGGGCACCACACACATTTGGCTGGAACAAATAACCAACTGTCAAACAGCAGCTTTACCCATGGTATATAGAAAAGGCATTAAAGTTGAAAGAGAATGCTGGAAACCTGTAAAGAACAAGAAATTATCTCAGCTGGAGCAGAGGATGGACAGGACAGTGACAGAACCTTACTCAGGTTGTTCAGGTATTTTCCAGTATGTGTGAACAATTTTTCAGAATTTATCCAAACTGAGTTTTAAAAAATATATCAAACATTAGTTTTGCAGGTTGTGTAAAAATCAGTCATCAGAAACTGATTTTCCAGGGAAATTAGGGAAATATTATTAAAGATACACTGGTACTTCTTAAATAAGTTGAACATTTTAAAATCCATGTCAAGTTTCTTTGCTAATGAACTACTCCAGCTATTCTACTTACTTGATGGCTAGATGTCAAATCCAGGATATCTTTCAAGAAAACAACCAGTAATTTTAAAACCTGACTTTTCAGTATTCACAGTAAAAACTTGGAACAAATTTTAAAGTTACTTCTTTAAATAACTCTCATCTATAAAAACTAGAAGAGAACAGTTCTTGGTTCTGACAGCAAAATCAGCTACTGACATTTTAAACTCTATTCCTAGAATTCTTCTCCTCTGCAGAGCTAATGAGGTTCGAAATTTTGCCATGGGCCACATTTCATTTTCAGATGAGACCCTCTTATTTTAGCAATAAAATGTATTCTTTATTCTTGCATGGAGATGATCAGTGAATGCTGAGATACTGTCAGTCATATTTATACTGCTGCCATCCATAAATTCAGGCACAACTGCCAGGTGACAGAAGTCACAGTAAAGAGAAGTCCACAAGCCAGCAGCAGCAGTTGACAAGAAGCCTTTTGAATCTTGTATATTTAAAATCACCATAACTTAGGTTTTTACTTTTTGAAAAATGCCTGTATTTTGCCCAGTGATTTGCACTTCTGTCACTTTTAACTGCTCAGTTTTCAGTGGGTGTCAGAACGAGTCTGGGAGTTCAACAGAGCAAAGGGAAAGATAAATAACTCTGACTTTCTTGAAAGATTTATTAAAAATGAGATCCGAGGACATTAATGTAGGGGGAACACATCACATTAATTCTAGCTTCATCTTGCAAAAAACACACATCAAGATTTGTAAATAAAAACTTCTGTGTTTTAGATATGTGCCTTACACATAACTGCTATGAACCCGAGTATGACATCTGGAATTCTGACTCAATTTGTTGACACAGTTTTCTTGAAGAGGCCTGTTTATTCCTATACTTGATAGCAGGCGTATGGGAAGGAATTAGAAGGATGAAATCTCTACACATTTGAGGCTCACTGGACAAACTAGGACCGTGTACTAGTTTTATGACATTTTTTAAAATGTCAAAATCTGCCACAACTCTTCCCGTGCTGCTTTGCTACTGTTATGTTCTCACCTACTTTCTGACCAGCAGCAGTTCAGTTCCTCTTGAGTATCTAATAGGCTACTGAGGGCTACCCATGCACATGTGACACTCAGGAAGCAGAGATACCTGCAACAAAAACTGTAACAACCCCAACCCAAAAGGTAATTTATAAGTTTGTAATGTATTTCAAAAGCCATGCTGTGTGTTTCCCTTTCAATTCTTCATATTTTCAAGCAGGAAGAGGTTCTTTGGGACACCTAAAGCTGTGAAAAGAAGGTTGAAAGGCTGGAAGCAAGAAAAGCAGGGACAGGAACGTAACAGGTGACAAAGCTTCAGGTATGCTTCAGGTATGCCATGGCATTGTGTATGGCATTATGCCTTCAGTCATTCCAAACATGGGAGCATTCTATAATTTATATTTTTTTAAAAAAAAAAATTGAAATATGCTATTATTTTTAAAGGTTTTTTTTTTTCCTAAGTATGACTAGCAGAATTCTAGTCATATTATTAAATCAACTGAAACTCCATACAGTCCATTGTTGCAAACATTTCTAGAATACAAGAAGTAGCATTAAGCATAATTTTAAACAGCTGCAGGCTTAAAATACTACCAGATCATTTCAAGGGTGAACTATGGAAAGGACAATTTCAACTTACTTGCTCCATCTCTGTTTCAAGAGACTCCAGTTTCTCTTTCAGCCTGCATTTCTCAGCCTCTGCACTGAGCAGTGCCAGCCTAACAGAGCTACAGTCTGCTTCTGCTTGATTCCATTTTGCTTCCCAACTTCTTCCTTGTTCACAGGCTTTGTGGTAATTCTCCAAAAGCTCGCAGTTCTCTCTCTCCTATCACATAAAGATTATTTGTTTAGGAAGTTACAGTAAGCTTTGCAAAATAGGGATATCTGTACCTCTAAAGGTATGACTGGATGTTTTCTTTCCATTGAAAACTTTGCCATTTAGCCAAAACACTATGAGACTTCTCAGCAACCAGTGTTTTGTTCAAGAAGGTTGTATTTTAATGCTCAAAAGACATCTGTTAAAAATGGCTAAATTAATATTACAAATATGAGGTATAGCAATATATTGCAGAAATATTTTTATTTTAATATTAATCCCATATGGTAATAAAGACAAAAGACTCCCAAGTTTCCATATTACTCACTGTCTGAATTCTTAAATTTAACACACAAACATATATACACACACACAGAGTAAAATATCCTTCCTTAGTTGTGTACTGCAAAAACAGCTAAGAAAGTGTGTTCAAACTATTAAAAACATGTTAGTAAAATGCAAACAAGTTTCAGCTAAGAAGCAAATTCTTCCATGAAAATACAGTTAAAATTTAATTTTTATTTAAAACAGCTTTTGTTAACAAGTTTAATCCATATACTCACTTTAGACTTCAGTGCACCCTTCAGCCTAACAATATCTGCGTTTGAATCCTGGGCTTTCAACTTCATATCATCTAGCTCATTTTGGTACTTTGCTAGTTTTTCATATAGTACCTATCAAGAAAGATTTGTTTCATAAGGTTAAAGTCTACTGTTTGTACCTTTATTAAAAAATAGAGTAAGTGCTTATCTAATGCCTATGGGTTTATTAACTCATTATTTAAAGGCTATATAAAATGTAAACCATGTATATTTCTATTAAAAAATTTGCATTTGTCAAAAATATTTTTTCCTTGATTCATAAATAATGCTAAATCTTAAGAGGAAAAATTCAATAAAAGAATGTAGCAGTTACAAAGAAAAGCACAGTGGTTTATTTAGCAGTTAGTTGTAATAAAATAGCTTGGCCCCATTAAAGGAGCAGGGCTCCCTCTTTTCTATGTTACAGTCTCTTAAAAGCCCACATTTGAAAAAGCAGAAGACAGCTAAAAAATTACCTAATTAAGTGACTATCTCCTACTCAGGAGAATTAAAGGCACAAGTATTAGAAGAGCACACACAGAATTTCTGGCAATTATTGCTTAAGAGAGAACAGAATGAGGAAAAAACAAATGCAGAAAGGCTGCCTTGATCTGCTCTGCTCAGAAACTCTTCCTTCCTTACAAAATTACTGGGAGAACATTGAGCTTCAAGAACTGGAGAAAGGGGCATGGGGGGGATGCTAAGAAATCTATGAACTTTTCCAGTAAGCCTAAATGAAATTAGAATGCTAATTTAAATACTTTTGAGTATCACCTAAATTAATGGAAGAACCTAGAGGAACCAACACGTATTATAGAGGCAAGCCTATTAAAAAAGTAGTTGATTCAGTGAGATTAAGATGTTTTGTTTCTAACTGCATCTACTAGCATCCAAGCATTGCAAATAAAACTATGAAGCTTTCAAAAGTAGCTAGAAGCACCAAGAGGTTGTTTTGTGTCAGCTGACCTCATCATTATCAACTGCAATTCTGAAAGAAGCTTTAACCTTTGGTGGTTAAAACCACTATGAACTTTAACTTTTGTGGGATACTCAAAGAGGGAGCTATAAATGAATTATTAGTATGCTTGAGAGAAGACTTATTTAGAATGTGAATTGTCTCACCCAATTTTTACAGCGCAGAATTAGGCACCTAATCTAAACTAGTTAGCTACACTTCTATAATGAACAGAAAGAGACAGGTAAAATGAAACACTTTAAAAACTGGGATGGGATGAATCTCCTCTGGAGGACTTTTCTTCCATTAAAAGGGAGACTTTATGACTTAAAACTTGTATATACCTAGCATCATGTGAATTTAATTTGCTTCTTCAAAACTGGGTAGTGCTGCTACAGGATGAGAAAACCAGGTGAGCAGAAAGTATTTTCAAAGACAAAGATAATCCTAAGAAGTAGACTAAGTGCAGAGAAGATCAAGTATCAGAAAACCTAAATGAAGGCAAGAAGTTGAAGAAAAAACAAAAAAAACTTGAATATTACACAGTGATTAACTACTATAGATATTAAGCTTATTTTCCAGCTGCTTGAAAAACACACTGATTCTATGAATACTCTGTGTGTGCATGAGATGACACTTTAGTTTTATATTAACCACTTCCATTAGTAATTGTACACAGATAAATAACATAGCAGATAATGTAGTATTGTGTTATTACCAAATATTTCCAGCACCTCATATCCAAAAGCCACTTAGAAGGAATGTAAACAAATACAATAAATACAGTTTTGAACCATATTAAAACATCTACTATGTTAAATTATTATCAAGCCAAATTCATAAGCTTGTAAGTGCTCTCAGCCAGTCACAGGACAGTAAAAGAAACATCATCTAAGCAATTATTATCAAGCCAAATTCATAAGCTTTTAAGTGCTCTCGGCCAGTCACAGGACAGTAAAAAACATTTGCTGTCTCCTTTATAGTACTTCTTCATCTAAGCCATAGCTGTAACTGTCACAGTGTTTTTACATGAAGATCAGAAAAAACATGACTTGGCTGTTTGAGATAAGCATCCAAATCATTACAGAAGAATAGCTGGTCTACTTTATAGAAGTGAGCTGTGCAATAAGGGAAAAATCAGAGTTTGAAAAATGAGTTTAAAAACTAGTTTACAGATCTGCTGCAGATGAGGGCCCAACAACTCTATGCACTACTTGAGAAATACACAATTTTCCTTTTTATTCAAGAGTACTCTGTACAAATATACCTGGTTGTCTTCCTTAATATTAGAAAGATGTTCTTGTAACCTGTCATTCTCCTGAGCTAATGATTCTCTGTTCTTGTTAGTCTGTGCAAGCTCTTTGTTGGCTTCTTGGAGCTGTTGATGCAAACTGGTGATGTCTTTCTCACAGATACTGAGTGCTTCAGTAGATTTTCTATACAGCAAACAAAAAACATTTCAGGTACGACAATACTGCCCAACCTCATATAAATTATAGCTTTACCATTGATTAAGTTTGCAGGTCATGAAACAGATCTGTAAAACTTTAATATTTAATAGAGTAAATATATATATACACACACACACATTAGCACATCGTATGATTAAATTTTTCAGTTAATGTTATAAATTACTCAAAAAATAATAACGATCGTGACATTTTTTCCTTACTTTGTGGTATGCTCCAACTCAGAAATCAGAATCTTGAAATCTGAAATTATCTTCTCCTTGAAAAGAAATACAAAATTAAAACAAATCTCTCAACACTCTGCAATATAAAAGTATAAATAAGATTATTTATATTTTCCTTTTATGAATAAAAGCTAGCTGATTAACTATTTAATGCAAAATTGATTGTGGTTTTCCCAGTTTCATCACATACTGTTCAGATTATCAGAATTTTCAGCTCTAATTTGGCAAGTAAAGGAACAAATATTTTCTGCAGAAGATAAAAACTTTTTTGATTCTTTGTGGTTCTAAAGTAGCATTTGGCTCACACTCCCAAAACTTTGTCTTCTGTCTATTAGATAAGTTATTAAAGCTTTTTTATAAACTACTGTAATCTGGTACTTTGTAAGTGATAAAACAAGAATTCTGTCACTGTTTTTTCTTAAAGAAGGTAGTACAAAGTATATCACTTTATTCCCATGTCTTTGAATACAGATATTAAAAGCAACACAGAGGGGAAGATAAGGGAGTGTCTTTCACTGGGGACTGTCTAAAGTGGACTGCATTTTACAATTTTAAAATGCAAAGTTACTGTTTATGGCAAGACAATTATAGCCAGTCCTGCAATATCTTTTCCTTAAGATTTTGTTAAAAATCACTGTTAATTCTTGAGTTAACAAACAACAGTTTTAAAGTACCTTATTTAATTTATCCTAAATCAATATTCAGGTGGATTAAAAAAGTAAGTAAAAAACAATGACTCAGAACTAAAAACTAAGCAGCTGCATCATATAGTTTGAAATCACACTGTGCAATAAGCTGACGCAATTTTCTTAAATTAGTAACTTAGGGTGAAAAGAGTATAATTCAGATGCTTCTTCAATGACAATAAAGTCAGTATTATTTGGCACTCTGCATCTCTAATATCAGCGGACCCCAAGGAATAATTTAGGCTAAATTTTATGATAAATAAAATATTTTATTGGCAAATTTACTCTTTTCCACTTCAGGGAAGTACTTGAAGTCTCCTCTCTTGATAAGTATAAACCATACAATACACTAAGTGTGAGATGCTCAATACTGCTCAATCTTCCTTGTTTTTATTATTGCCTTGAAATTGGAGCAGAACTAGGTCAGCCCTGAGCACTGTTGCAGATACCAACATAAGATAAGTGTGATGACCCAACAGATCCGTTCACTGTTTATTTTTTGTGGCTATGTAGCTATTTCCTTGTTAGAACATACTTTAATTGCCAGGCTTTCCTCAAAGGTAGCAATCTTCTCTTTTCCTTCTTCCAGAGAGTCTTGCAGAGCTGCCTTCTCTTTACCAAGTTGTGCAATTGTTTCTTTCAAAGCACAGATCGCTTCTTGTTGTACAAGACTTTGTCTTGAAAAGCTATCTGGACACAAGCAGAAAGGTCTCATTTTTATTAATTCAACCCATTTGAAATAAGAGTTCTGTTGATACACTTCTAAAGCATAAAACAACATGGCAAAAGCTCCCCTTCAGGAAAACACTGAAGCATGTACCATTCTGAAACGTATAAATAATCCAACTAACACTTAATAGAACTGCATTCTTCCTTAGATCAAGGCCTTAATTTACTTGGCTCAAAATAAATCTCTCTCTAAACAGCAAATGTCTAGATCATAAAAATAACTCTCGCATATTATAACAATAAAGACTTAAACACAATTACAATAGAAGCAATATGTAGACTACAGTATGAAATGGCTGATGAAATAAAAGAAATTGATATCCTGATATTAGCCAGTTTCTTTGAAATCCCTTTTTATTTAAATGGGCTTTATGTAAAAGGGAAGGAGTAATGCATTTATAAAATTCAACATCACTTAAAAATTGCAAAGATAATAACAAAAGAAAAAACCTACTCACTACAAAATCAAATTCTAAAAGATGTCTCTCCCTATCCTCATTCAGCTGGTAAGATATTACACACTACATTTACCTTTAAATGGTCAGAGAATCAATCCTTATATAATCTACCTACACTGCATTTGCAGAGGAGAAACACAGAAACCCTTCTTACAGTGAACCTCCTATCTCATAACCACCATGCAGGCTGCAAATTACCCTTTTAATATCAGTGTAATTTGCCTTATTAAACAATATTAAGTACTTCCAGAAGCTAAAACAGGGGAGGCTCCCTCTGAACATCAGGGAACACTTTTCTCACTGTGAGGGTGACAGAGCACTGGAACAGGTTGTTCCAGAGAGGTTACAGAGCTGCCTCCTTTGGAGATACTGAAAACCCATCTACACACGGTCCTGAGCGACTGGTTCCAGGGGGTCCTGCTGGGGAAGGGGGTTGGACAAGGTGACCTTCCGAGGGGTCTTCCAACCTCAAACATTCTGTGACTCTAAGCATTCTTACTATTTCACACAGAAGGAAGGAGGCACAAAGATCAACTAAAAATGCTGTTTGATCATTCTGGATGCCTGAACTGTGGCCTAAATTTTTAGGGTAGAAAGTATTACACATTCAAAAAAAGACCAAACCCATGGATTGCTGCCACAGCTGTGAGTGCTTCACACTTCTGAAAATTAATAACCCAAGTCTCAAATCAGGCACTCTGAATAGACATCATATATGTATAGTTAGCAAGAAATTCTCAAAGCTTGATTGCACATCTCTCCCAATTCTAATGTATAGGCAGCAATAGTACAAAATACTGTGTAACATTATTTAACAGTTTAAATAGCGTGAGAAAAAAAATTAAATGCATTTTGAATGAAATGCTAATTAATTTGATTGAATGTTAACATCAAATGAAATATTTTAATCAAAATAATGGGAGTTTGAAATTTGTAATTAACAAAAACCAAAATATTTTTATATCAGTAGTCAGCTTTAACATTAGCTAAAATTAGCTATAGGTTAACTTTATTTTCCTTTCACAAATTCAGCACTGCATTTGAGAAGAGATTATGGTAGCTGCATCTATAGAAAATAGTAAAAGACTTCTAACACAGTACAGTTGTAATTTTGGAAGTGAGAACATATTCCTTTGCACTACAGGAACAGTAATTCCTCTATCCACAACACAAATCTGTATCAATAATGCAAAAAGGGTGCAACATACAATATAGGATATATACTATAAAGGATGTTTTCCTGATTCTGTCATCATCACCATCTTAGAGTGCTGACAAGTGCTAACACTGCCTTAGTGGATAAGAAATAACTGATATATTGAGACACTGCACACTGGTACCACCACACATTGTTCAGCTGACAGTATGTATTGTACTGAAATTTACTTGCAAGAACTTTATTACATAGTTTTGAAATGCAGAAACCTTCCAACAAAGAAAGTCAAAAAATGTTTTGTACTTGACACTTTCTTTCAACCCATACGATAAAAAAAGTGGTAATATACCAATTAGCCTATTGAATTTTATTATAAAAATTGTATCTGTCACTCACCAATTTTTTCATCCAAAAGCATAATTTTCTCTTGGGTAAGTTCCATTTCATATTTTTTCTTGACAAGGTTTCGCTGAGTCTCTGAAAGACTCTGTTCTGTCTTTTCATTCAATAACCTGGAAAAGCAGAAGCATTAAACAAGAGAATTCAGACATTTATATATGGGGTTTTTTTTTTCCTATTTGAAATGTCACTAACATCATAAAAGTTAGGAAAAAGTAAGATTCTTCTGTATACTTCAGACCATTTGAGATATTTTATTAATGTTAACCATAATTTCTGGATACTAAAGTCCTTTACTCCTGTAAAGAATCACTGAAAAGTAAGAATTCTTTACAATGGATGGATGCAAAAACTTCTCAAAAATTATTACAATAAAAATTATCACTTGAGACATATTTGGAATGCTTGACCTATTTTAAGTTATACCAAAGTCATACGTTCAAATCGTGTAGTAATATTAATGATTCTCAAACAGTTGAAGAAACTGAAAAGAACTACCTGCCTGGTTTAGGGGCAGAAAGAAAAAGATGTTTTAGTAGCAGCAACTAATCTTCAGCAACTCAATTTTGACAGTATTCATAAATCTGACAATTTATTATAAAGCAGCAATAACTCAGGACTGGATCTGCAAAGGAGTTCATGTTATTTTAGAATCAGAGTATCCTTAGAAAGGTATCGTAGGCCAGTACAGTATTTGCATGCTGGCAATCAGCACTCCCACCAATGAAAATCCAACAAAAAACCTGCAACACCCATGTGTCAGCTACTTGTAAGGACACAGGTTTGGGACAGGGTTTGGCTAACTAAATTGTATTTCAGGAGGTACAAGAGGAAAAAGCTGCAGTATCTTCTCTTGCAGCCTGTTCAGTCTGTAGCCTAGTTCAGTCTGTGGTGGAGTTCCTCATATTTCTCCACACAAACCTCAGACGTGATTGATCTTTCCACTCTAGGCAGTAAATTATCCATTTTTATCTTGCACTTGCTGACCTGTGCTTTCTTCCCTAAAGGCTTTGATTGAGTCTAGACCCACCACATGCTTCTGAATACAGTTGGGAACTCCACTTGAACAGCAGGCCATAAACCCTATAAAAAGTTTCAGTTCTATTTCCTCTCATTAAAAAGCTCCAAGACTAAGACAAGGATGTTTGAAACTAACTACACGTAACACTCGTTTGTGTGTTTGCTTGCCCCTATAGAAACAACAATTAAAAAAATATATTTTTAAAAAATTCATGCACAATTTACCAAAAAAAATCAAACCCTGCAGCTTCTAATTGAAAGCTCCTAACTCAAAGTCAGAGCAAATTTGAGTTTGTCACTCAAGGTGGTTTTCAGCACATGAACAAGCCAAGAACATCTGCATGTAAGTAAGCAATGAGGAGAACACTTTCACTCAAAAAGAAAGAAGTCTCATAAGAATAACTACTGTAAATTCCTTTCCCTTTGAGCTATACAAGTTATCAAAACCAATGAATATAGGCTGGTGTTACTCGTCCAGCTAATGCAAGTATGTGCTTTTACTTACCTTAGTGAGACACATTCAGCTTCCTGTCGGCTCCGCTCAGCTTCAGAGTCCAGTGCTGCTCTTGCCAATCTTTTCACCTCCCTTTCCAGAGATTCAATGGTGTCTTTCATTAGTGCCACTTCAGACATCTGTTCTGACCGTTCACTATCTAACTATAATTAAACATTAAAAGGAAAAAAAAAAAAAAAGCTGTTTTATACACACAATTTCTCCTACTAATTCAAATTCTGCTCTGTTTGTAGCACAAATCTTTTACTGAAGAAATACCCAAGCATTTAATCTCTTCAGGGCCTGACTCCAAGTCTACTGAAGGCAGTCAGCAAAGAGCTGAAATGAGATTTTCACTTCCTTTGAAGGAAAATCAATTTCCTGACTTTCAGATCTCTGGGAATATTTTCATTTATTAATGTAAATTTAAGGTTGGAATTGTGCCCAAGGGCAAAAATGTTTGACATGGATCAACATTAAAAGTTTTCAGTGCAAAATAACACAACAGAAAACATTACTACAAGTGTATGAAAGTAGAAACCCTGGTTCAGGACACATAGCCAATAACATAGCTATGCTGATAACTGGACAGAGAAATCCCTGCAAAACAGCTGCATAACGCACTATGTGACCAAGGCACCACCATGAGGCCTTTAGGTCCATACCAAGGACAAAAAACAGGTCCTAAACCTCTTGCACAGACTCCATCAAAGCCAGTTTGAAATCTCACGTTTAAAGGAAGATGTGTTTCTTTATTAAAATGCTTACACTTAAGATTCAAAGAACTATCCTTTCTAAATTATATGAAACAGATCTTTTAAGACAAAAAATTCTCACCTCATCCGCCTCCTCATTTACTAATTCTTTCAGTACTTATTTCTGTGTTACTATAATCAGATGTCAGACCTCTAAAGAGCAAGTCAATAAACCTCTGGTATGCAGTCAGTTTTCCAATATCAGTGCCATAAATTTCATATTGATGCATCACCCTCAAATAAGCTGAAGAAATAAGCTGAGGTAGCTAAAACAGAACTATTCCAAATATTCACTACACATCATATGTCAAGTGTGTGATTAAAGTTAATTTACTCCTCAGAGTACTCAGAGCTCTTTAAGCCTACAGGGTATTCTCCATCCCAGACGAACTCAGTTTAATATTATAATCCTTGGAACTATTCTCACAAGTTTGGTAGGATTTAAAAAGCAGGAAAAGCTAATTAATCAGAATTTAGAAGCACAAGATCTAGAAGAAAGATACACTAGAGAAATTAAGTTAATCTACTTAAAAATCAAATTCTACCAAGACTGTAAAGATTCATATTCATTACTGTTTTCATTTTCTATTTTAGACCCATATGTTAGCAAACAATTGGACACACAATTGACTTAAAATATATTAAATAAGACTATCCAGAACAGCACAATTACATTTAGTTTTGAAGCATCAGGCCTTAATAATATACAAGACAAGACAATTTGCATTGGAATGGACTCGAGGAGGTCCCTAGTCCAAAATCCTCAGAGCAGGGCTAGCTCTGAAGCCGGGTTGCTCAGGGTTTTGTCCAGTCTGGCCTTGCAAATCTCCAAGGCTGGGGACTACTCAGCTGTCCTCATGGAAAAGAAATATTTCCTTTTTACGCAACCTGAACCCTTCTTGTTTCAACTGATGCCCACTGTTGCTCAAACTTCCACCAGGGACTGCTGTGAAAAGCTTGTTTCTGACTTCCCGATGAGCACGAGCAGATAGGGCCCTCTTTAAGGCACCTCTGCTCTAGGTGAAACAAGCCCAGTTCCAGCAGTCTCCTCTCGCAGGGAAAGCATTTCAGCCCCAAGTATTGTGGGAGGCCTCCATTACACACACTTCAGTTTGGCATTGTGTTGCTTGTCCTGGGGTGGCAAAGCGGGGTGCAGTGTATTCCAGACATGTTCTAATGAGTGCCCAGTAAAGAAGGAGAGTCACTTCCCTTGAGCTGTTGGCTGTCTCATGTTCACACAGCCCAATACACTCTTGGCCCTCTTTGCCACCATGGCACATTGCTGACTTATGTTCACCTTGCTGTGCACCAAGGACTCCAGAGCCTGAATCTTCAGCAGACCTACTCTGAAACCCATTGGTCCCAAACCTGCATTGGTGTCATTCAGAATTTGGCATTCATCCTTGCTGGACTTCATAAGGTTGCTGTTGTCCATACTTCCTACCTGTCTTGGTCCCTGTGGATGACAGCTCTCCTCCTGAGTATATCAGCAGTTTTCCCTAATTTGGTATCACATGCAAACTTCATGAGCATGCATTCTGTTGCTTCCTTCAGGTCACCAATGAAGAAGTTAAACAGGACAGGCCTCAGCACAAACCTCCATGGTGCCCCATGTTAGCAGTTTCTAGGCCAAATGAACTGCTACCTTGAAGAGGCTCACCATCCAAGCCAATTTTTCCCCATTTCCTGCCCACCCACCAGACCATAACAAGATGGGTAAACAGATGGGATCCAAGCAAACTGTGGGTAACAGTGTCAAAAGCCTTGCTACAGTCTTGGATAAATTATATCCACTACTCTCAGCCTGTTGTTTCCTGAGAACAGCCAGGTTGGTCCTGCAGGATTAACCATGAGGATCACCTGTATTACATTTACAATTCCATAAATAATTGTTTTCCCTTACATTTTGAATAATAGTTTCTAGCTCTTCAATTCTCTGTTCCTGATGAGCCTTTTCATTAAACGCAGTCTCTTGGGAAATCTGCATCAAACAACAACAACAAAATAATCACATATAGAACAGGTCTGCACTCACCAGAGACAAGCAATGAACTCTCAGGGTTAGAATAAAAATCTTCAGCAACTTTAACTACACTACCCAGTAGTTTTCCCCCCGTTAAAACAGCCCTGCGGGAGGGGCAGAGAGTGAAACCTTTAGCTGCTCCCTGAGGCTGTCGCGCTCCGTGGCCATCCGTCGGAAGTCTGCCAGCGCCGCGTCCCTTTCTGCCTCCAGGTGCCGCAGCACAGCCTGAGCTCTGGCGGCGCCTCCCGGCGCCCTGGGGCGTTGGATGGCTTCCTGACGGAGGCGGGAAAGCTCCTCCTGGGCCTGTTTGAAAAACAGCAGCGTAAGAGGAACATGGAACTGATAATGTAGCACCTTACCGCAGCATATGGCTGGTAGGACAGAGCGGCCCAGAAACGGTGCGATATCAAAGATGAAGTAATAACTTGGGCGTATATTCTTTAATTTAGGAAAGCATTCTTCACCCAGGGCAGGACTTACAAACTTGTATTTCACTGACAGATTGAAATCACAGAATTTCCATAACTTTTATTTCTATTTTTTGGACAACTTTTTTCTTTACATAAAGACAAAGCTACAAAAGGATTTTCCCCTGCACATCACCTTATTGTAATTAATCACACAAATATAAATAAAATTACCTGTTCATAAAGATTGACAATTTTGTCTCTCTCAGCTGTTAAAACTTTGAGGTTACCCTGAATTTCTGCCATGTGGCGCTCATATTTTTTCACTGTTGACTTAAGTTCTTCATGTTCTTTCAATATTTTCAAGACTTTTGTATCAGAATTCATGCCCTTAAAGAATAAGGTGAAAAGAGGTTAAAGCAGAGAAACAAAGCTTGACATGCTTTCTTACTATAGCTCATTTGGAAATTTCTATAAAAGATTTAAAAAGCCATCAACCTTGTAACCTCAAGACAGTCACAACTGTGTGCATATATATATATTTCTTAGTATTAGTGCCCAGATATACATAACATCTTCTGATATACACACTTATTCTGAGTAGCTAGTGTTTATCACAAATGGTACTATCATGTTAATTCAGGTAAGCACTTGTCAGTAACCATTTAAAGTGATATACACGGATGCAGAGTAAAGCAGCAGTTCAGATTATTTGCCCATTCCCATCTTATGCATCTCTCTGTTTATAATCAATTCATTTTTATTCCTGGTAATTATGATTTTACTAACTCAGCATAAGATATACCAATATTTTATAAAATGCATTTCTTCTCTTTCTAAGTGTTTTCCAAACTCACCTGAATGGATGAAAAATTTTTTGACATGCTGCCCCAAGTAGAGGTTCGCTTAGGACTTGAAAATGTCTTTCTAAATAACTTCATCAAATTCTCAGTCTCACTTTTATAGTAATCTCTGTCCTCTTCCAATGTCTTAATAAAGGCATCAAGCCTTGAAGGTGACTTCCCGTGTCTTATTTCAGGTTCTGTTTGCAAAATAACCTGAATGTGTAAGATCGAGAGAATTCATTCACTGAAATAGAACTTTTGTAATTAATGATATTGCCATGTAAAACAGATAAATATACTCTTCAAAATGAAGAAGAAGCAGATACCTAATTAAAATAAACATGTACTTAATAATTTTAAGCAACTTCTGAATGTTTGTATTTTCTCTTTTTTGTTACATTGCACAGTATATCTGAATGTACTTCTAAAATGGATCTAAGAGGACAGAAAAGGACAGAAAAGCTAAATGTTAATTAATTTGGAACATATCTGTTCAAAACTAAGGAGGACAATTAAGTAGAATTGTATTGGAATATCTAATAAATTTATAAATATGAAAGAAATTAGGCCACTACATTTGCTTAAGATCCATGAAAGATGAATTTTTGAAATGCAAATAAAATAATAAGCAAATAAGTGTAGTTGAAATCCAGGAAGTCACGTAGGGGCCTAAAACATATTCTGAAGATGAACTGCAATTCCAAAGTTCAAAAATGCACACCAAATACCCCGCCATTATAATCTAACTGTTGGAAGTACCTAGGAAATACTAACACTACAGATTTATTATTTTTGTTAAGACACATGCAGAAACAGGTCTTCCAATCCCTGAAAAGTTATACAAGTTAATCACCTAAATCTCTCAGTGGATCTAGCTCTCAAATCTCAAACTTTCTGGCTGAAGGATCAAAGTTTTTCCAAGGTAATTGAGCAGTAAGCTTTACATGTCAGAGCCTTTTTTTATTTCCATAGGGAATTCTTTGCAGGATTGTAGCATAAGATCAAATATTTTAAAAGCAACCCTTCCCACCCCTCTGACAAGCTAATTGCAAGATGGAAACATGTCCACCCTTCTAGGGACAAGAGAACTACAGATGAAATCAGGTATGTTCATCCATTCAGTAACTTGTCTGTTATCAGTGAAAACAAAGCAAGTAGAATTCACTTGTACAAGTACTAATTTCATGTGGAAATTACCCAATCTCTTAGCTACACATATATTAAAGATACATGTTTAACTCACAGATTTTAGTGTTTTCACCGTGTGTTCCAGATTCTTTATCTTACTCTGCTGGTGTCGAATTTGAATCTACCATTTAAAAAAAAACATTGAGAACAAAGTTGCATTAATTTTTTAAAATCATTAGTGTAAATCCAGCATTTTAGCTCAACTGTTCTAGTCCAAAGAAGCATTATTTATGTTTTCTAGTTTAAATAGGCTAAAACCATACTACTTGAAATGTTCAGAACTGCCCTACCAATAAACTTTTCACAAGAGGGACAGTTTGAGTACACCTATGGGCTAAACAGATAAATATGTAGTTACACTAATTGTAAATAAAAAATATGCTTTAGTACTAGTGGTCAGATGGGACAAAACACATAATTGCATATGATCACATAATTTTCCATTACTCTAAGAAATCAAAAGCATTTTTCACTGAAATGACTCTCATG